ACAACTAAATAATGATCCGATATATCAGTTGCCCCTCTATAAACATGTACATCCTTTTATCCACCAATACATAATCTAACAAACTACTTTCATTACGTGCTACATCATACCTTGTATATTTATTTATCCTCTTTTTCATAAAATATGTATTACTTATTACCAAAATATGGTCCAGAATTAATAGCACAAACATTCCTAGCACTAAAATAACATTTTGTCTGTTGATTAGTCACTTGCTTTCCATTTTGAATTTTTATTTACACACAAGTAATAATTCTGTTATGCAGACTATTGCATTATTGTAAAAATGGTATAAATAATATCAGTGCATTTGTGAAAGCATACTAGACCCGCCAGTTGGCGTGTATTGGATGAGTGACATGATTTGTATACTTGTGAACAATGGCAAAAATCGAGCATTTTCCCTACTTTGAGCTCAATTTCAAGGTACTTTCAGTCAGTAAACCATTCAAAATCATCTCTATTTCTGTAATATATCTTCCATTCTATCAAATGAGATCAAGAATACAACTATAAATACTATACGTAAATACATCGCAAATTCACTGTTTTAAACCCAAAATACGGTCAGTTTTCTTTTTTTCTTCGTTATGCACTGCATGCTGCAAGTTTTTTTTTTTTTTTTTTTATATATATATACTGCTCACACTGACTACTCAGACCCATTCTCTCATATGTAGGCCTACCAGCTTTCCTGCAAGCCGCTAGAATTTTGGTGTAGTATTACGGGACCGACACTGGCCTGCAAGCCATAATATTACAGGACCGACAGTGAAAGGGTTAAACAGGATACCAACAAAAATTTAATATTTTAAACAGTTTGGCCTTGTACTCAATTTTTGCTTTATGATATTTGCCTTCATCTCTAATCACTAGTGAATGTCTCAATTTTCTACTGAGGTTGCTTCACACCTATGAACATCTATATCCTCAGATACATAATCACCTTTTTTAATACAACATTTAAAAAAAAAAAAAAAAAAAAATTTCTTAACCTTTAACAGAACACTTACTAAGGCACTGTAGTAGTTTTCAGGTGATGAGCAAGCTGAGCAAATTCCAATAATCATTGGAATTTGATAATTGGAATATGATAATTAACTATAATGAATATATGAGTGATTAAGTGTATTTTAAGAAAGGTACTTAGATTATCAGAAACAGTTCCGAAACAGTTGAACTCTCTACCTAAGATTACCAGATTCTGAATACCTACAGTCAAGTTATGAAAGGTAATTATTAGGATATTTTCTAAGGTATTGGTGTTAATACATCAAACTATAAAGTGAATTTTATATATTCAAAATAAGCACTATTTACCAAAGGTAGAACAAATGAATTCTTTCCTGATAAGCATAGATGTGTTAAAAGTCAGCTAAAATTCCAGGGCAAGGGTTTACCACTTGTCCTGTGTAATAAATAATGAAGTGAATGTGTTACCTTTGGGGTCTCCAGGTTATGGGAAACAAAAAAAGTACTACTAGTACTTTTAACAATGTAAAATTAGCTACTGTATGTTATGTCCAAATTATTAATGAAAATTTTTAACCTTAAAATACTTTTATTGCTGTAATGAAATACTGGATGCATTTTATGAGCTGCAATAGGAATGTGTAATATTTATCATTTAACTGTGATAAAATTTATCTTCATGAAGTAACTAAAATGTACTATGCTTTCTTTTTCAAAATGAATTCCTGAGTGTTAAAGGTGTGTATTAGATTACACTAATACAATGTATATTTTCACAACCTTGGTTGCTACTGTTTCACTCAAAAGGCTGTATTATTAATAGCAGTGACTAGGTTTTTTAAAAATGTTACAAATTTTTCTAATAACCACTATAATACCTAATCTGACTTGGCAGGTTTGTCAGTCATTAGAAGATTTCTCTGGCAAGAATTCCAATTCCAAAGCAGAGGATTACTTGTATTAATTCTTTTCATAGTAGTTACATAGTAACACATACTACCAAAATAGTCTTACTGTTTTTAATATGCACAAATAACTGCATGTAATGTATGTTCAATGTCCAAATCAGTGACTATTATGTATTAAATATATATACATGTTACAAAAATTATAAAAATTCCTACCTCAGTGGGAGATGTTTATTTTTTTTATTTAAAAGCTGAGAAATTAGGTGAAAAATAAAACCTTGTATAAAAGTATAAAATACACCACACAAACAAAAATCGTATTCAGCACAGTTGAAAAATAATTCATATTAAGTATATTGGGATGTCAATACAACAAATTCTGATACTGTATTTCATACAACTTGATACTGTTTTAAAATGAAACACACACAAAGATTCGAGTATTACACTATGTAACGAGTCCCACAATGGTAACTTATTAAGAAACTGTAGTTCACCACTTTACTAACTATATATTATGTGGAACTTCATGGGCACGTGGAAAAGAATCCCTCCATAAGCCATGCGTGTCTTAGGTGACTAAAATGCCGGGAGCAAGGGGCTAGTAACCTCTTCTCCTGTATAAATTACTACACGTAAAAAGAAAAACATCCGTTTCTTCTTTTTCAGGTCACCCTGCCTCGGTGGGATATGGCCAGTGTGTTAAAAAAAAAACGTGGATTAAGATTAACAAACTATTAACTGATCATCACTCTCTCCTGAATACAGGATGAAACTTCCATGCTACTATAACCAATGTAACAAAATATATATTTTTTAACATTCAAAATGCAAAAATAAAAAATCATACTTAAAACAAAAGCTCTTTCAATGAGTATACTAAACTAACGTCAATGTTATTTACATAAAGGGTGGACAGTGTCTGGGTGGATGATGTGCTGGACACCAAGAGTAAAGGCTAGACCAAATGCAAAAATACCAACTATAATGTATGCTGATGCAACAAACAACAGACAGATTTCACTTAAAGTTCCTTTGGAGCCATTGACTTCAATGCTGATTAAAACTAGCTGTAACAAGCATATACCTGAAAGACATGGAAGTTTGAGTGAATACTATACTGGAATAACTTAATGTAATGTAACTGTATATTAATGGGGAAATGCTAAACCCATAAGGGTCATACAATACCTGGGTAATGGGAGGTACTTAGATTTGATCCAGTGAAGTGGAGGGTAACCCCAATTCCTTAAATGAAGAGCCCTTCATCAGCATCAAGGCAACCCCCATCCCTCCTTGAGGGGAATGTAAGTAATGCTAAACATTTTTAAAACAAAATTTTCTAGGATAAAAGGCATCTAATATACTATTCATCATCATTCATTCATCATAAGTAATCTTTGTGTCCATGAGCAACTGATACAGTCATACTATTAGGCATTTGTTGTGTTGCAATGACCTAATAAACAAATTATTAGGCTACTCAGTTAAACATGCACAGAAAACCTTGTTCTACAATATCTGAAGAATTTTTTAAGAACAGTAGAGTACAGGTCTCCCTCATTTTAAACAGTAGAGGCATTCTTGGTCCATGGTAGCTCTACTAAACAGGTTATCAACACTTAGTCTTCTAAACACATGATGTACTGTACAGGTCACATAGTGAATGTATATTGCACATACAGAATTACTGACAGAAGTAGGACCTCGCATAATTGCAAATCTGCATAAAGCGAGGAAAACATGTATGTACTATATAATTGTAATAAATCTACATACACATGACTAAATCTGGGGGTGAATGGAGGAAGATATAAGAAATATCCTGGGAAAGCCATAGTAAAAGGATGTCAGGGGCTGGGGGCAAACACACTTGACTGTCTTATGAGCTTGGATATTGGATAGAGGAAAACAGTGATGTAGTGTGAGCATGGTAATAAGAATGACTTAAAATTAAGGGACACCAGTTAGCCAGACAGGCTGCTTTCCTAGCCCCTGCAGGCCCACAGCACATACTTCCTCCAGAATAGATTCGAAGGAGGTCAAAGGGATTTCTGGGTTCTGGGGTTCTTCCAGGGACACATTCTTTATGTGGCCCTGTTGCAAGGGGAGGGATTCTACTTTCATAGCTCAGCCTGATGACTGCCTGATTAAACCAAACTGTTGCTTCCAGTAGCCCACATGGCCATGATACAAACAATCTAATACTTTTCATAGAAATGGTCTAATGGTACCTGATAATACGAGTATACCTCACTAGTATGGTGGGTTTAATTACAGACCACCCCATAAAGTAAATACGTATTGCCTTAAAGGGAATCACAGCCTTTTTTTTCCACTTACTAGTGCACATAAAAAAGCCTATTAACATGTTAATAAATGACAGTGTAAAGTGTACAATGCCACTGGGCCTTAAAAAAAAAAAAAAAAAAAAAAAAAAAAAGGAATTCCAAGTTAAAATGAATAAATTTTGGGGGAAAGTTGCCAAAAACCATCTTAAGAACAAGGCAAGTGCCAAAGGTGTCAATGAGTGTAAAACGAAAGCCTGTAATTATTGTACATGGTAGGATTGCTGTTTTTTTTTTTTTGTCTCAAACATGCAAGATTTCAAGTATGTCTTGCTACTTCTACTTACATTAAGGTCATACTAAACATACATGTACAAGCATATATGTACACACCCTTCTGGGTTTTCTTCTATTTTTCTTACTAGTTCTCGTTCTTGTTTATTTCCACTTATCTCCATGGGGAAGTGGAACAGAATTCTTCCTCCTTAAGCCATGTGCATCATAAGGGGCAACTAAAATGCCAGGAGCAAGGGGCTAGTAACCACTTCTCCTGTATTGTATATTATTAAATGTAAAAGAAACTGGTTTTTTCTCTTGGGCCACCCCACCTCAGTGGGATACAACCGGCGTGTTGAAAGAAGATAATTGAAAAGTGTAGTATTAGTGAAGTGCTTTAAAGTAAGCACTGTATTAACAAGGTATGCCTGTACACACATGGAAAATGCTTTGAGGGCAGATCCCCAATTTGTACATTACCAAAACATAGTGGAATATGTTATGATATAAGAGATAAAACTGAACGAATACTCACCAGGGAAGACAAAAATGAAAATAGCTGCAAGGCTTCCAAGAAGTTTCACAACAATATTGATATTTGGTGTAAAAACTGCAATCAACATTGAAGTTCCCCAAAGTGTCAAAGCAATCAACTGAAAGGAGAATGATTAAACAAGCACTGTAAACCACCTTGAAAAATCACAATAGAATCAATAGTAGAATGGCTTATGTATTACTGTGTTTCTTTCATGCCTTTATGTCCTTATAAAACCAGCTGTATCAAGGAAATTTTCAAAACACGAATTTACTTTAGCCATATGAAGAAAATGTTGAAAATAAAAAAATTTACTTATCTACTGCTTCTATAGCCAATGCAAATGCATTCAAGGAATTTGGTAAATATAAAATAGTATTTACTATATACTTCAGCCTTTATGCCACAATACAAGAGCCAAAATTCAGATGCAGTGCATTGCTCATTCAGTAGTAGTTGGCTAAATTACTGTATAATGGCTTATGACTAAAGATAATCCAGTCTGAATCTCTTAGGACAAAGAATCACAAATTTTACATTTAAGTACTGTACCTTTTCACAATGGTGCTGGTAAGGAATTGCCATTAAATTAACCAAGTATTATCAACATAATAGATAAAGGATGCTTCAGCACAGAAAAGGGACAAGTAGATGAAATGAAAAAACTAGACTTGAATTAAACCAGGAAATTCATTCTAATGAAAAACATGTGGAGTCAAATGCACACCTTATGTTCAAAATTCAGTTGGTTGAATGGGTAATTTGAAAAATGTGTTGAATACTAATAATTGGGTCTGCAAAAAGCATAATACAAAATGTGTCAAAGTACATAAACAAATTAATGTCTTAAAACTCCTTAGCATTTAATACTGCCACGAGTAACCAACCTTGATTACTGTATTTTTGAGAAACCTTTAATATAATGGGAAAAAAAAAAAATGCACAAAGATATACTGTGTATACAGGCAGTTCCTGTTTCATGAAGGGTTTACATTCTGAAAACACTTGTACAATTATTGTTTTATTCTGAGCCATGAGTACTGAACTAAGTACATGACCTACCAATTTCATATAGAGGTGTTCCATTTACAGACTATTTTGCTGTAATAGAGCTACCCACCTTCACACCCGTTGGCAACAACGTTGGTCAACTACTCGGTAACAAACTTCACTCTATTAAACCGAGCATAGGTTACTGGCTGTCTTCTTGTCATCAGTGTTGCGGTTGGGAGACTACTCTCTCCCGCCTTCGCATTGGCCACACTCGTCTTACTCGTAGGTATCTCATGGAGAGGCACCCTGTTCCTCTCTGTGAGCAGTGTCAAGTTCCAGTATCGATTAGCCACATTCTGTTAGACTGCCCTCTCTATCAACAAGCACGTAGAATTTACCTCCAACGTCGTGTCCGCTCTACTACTCTCTCTCTACCTTCCCTTCTTTCTGATGGACCCTCCTTTAATACTGACTCTCTCATTGACTTCTTGACAACGACTGATTTACTCCACAAACTCTGATGATGATACCTTTTGCACTCCCCACAGCCCTTTCTACCTCAATCTCTTGCTGCCCTCTACCCTTTCACCATCCACTGCCCCGCTGTTCTCCGTAACCTGTTACTCTCCATCTCCCTATTGCCACCTGATACCCTCGCTTCCTTCCTGCCCTGCAGCGCTGTATAGCCCTTGTGGTTTAGCGCTTCTTTTTGATTATAATAATAATAATGAACTAAAGTTAATGTGGCTGTTACCTTAACTATTGCTCTTATGATGTGAATACTGAAATTACACATGAAATTTTCATTTCAAGAGCTTATAGAGTACAGCAAATTAAGTGACAATGTATTTAATACAAATTCTGCAGTGCTTTATGACCCTAGTGGGTTTAGCGCTTCTTTTTTATTACAGTAATATTACAAATTATATGGTTTTTTTTAATAAGTACTGAATGGAAAGTTTTTTTTAGCAAATCAGCCATTTCCTACCATGGTAACTAAAACCAAGGAAGAATACACATTTACCATCACTCATTCTTTAGTTTTCTTTCCAGAAATGTGTGGGCATCACAACTCAAATGATTCTCTCATTGGCAATATTCTCAATTATCCTTCAGAGGGCAGTACACTATTATTATTACCTGTATTAAGTATTTTCTTTAAATAATTGCATTGTCATTAATATTGCGGTTCAATTTAAACTTATGCTATACGTGGGCAAAATAAAGCAACATTGAATTTAAATATCTTGCATGAACAGCCACAGAGTTTCAAAATAAATCTACAGTGAAAGTATCAGAGTGAGTCTGCGAATTTAATCTGGCGAGATGTGCACGAGACTCTTAAGTCACCTTCGATCCATGAAATAAAAGTAACCCTAGATGCTCCTAAACAAAATCACACATTTAATATGTGAATGGGTTCTCGTTTCAGTAAACTCTTGCAAAATGAGCCTTCATCATGCACGAACTGCCTGCACCAAGTGCTGGAATTACCTTACGACGCAGTGATTCCGTTCTGGCAGCTTCAACAGGAGAGAGAGACCTCAGTTGGATGTAAAGATCTCCCACTGCCTCTCTGAAACAGATAGCAACTAAAAAAAAAAAAAGCTCTACCTGTCCCACACTGTACACAAAAAGTATTTATTATACTCAAACGAGTGGCTGAGGTATAAAGGAAATAAGTAAACAGTAAATCATTAAAATTTTGAGTTTGAGAGAAAAGAGCAGAGTAAATATGAGCAATGAAGGAGAAGGTCGAAAATAAAGTCAGCCTTCTCTCTATCAAAACATTACAGCTCGAATTACACGAGAGAGAGAAAAAGAAAAAACAGTGAACAGGATTAGCTGAATATTTTTTCTAGCAATTTTTTGCTGTTTTATTTATGCTGATAATCATTTATTGGCATGCAAAATGATTGGGGGTAAAGTTACTCATCATTCCATGCAAGACAAGGTTGGTTAAGAGAGCAATCACTGTATATACTGTAATATTAATAAGTGATAATGCAAAGCTAGAGCTAAGGAAAGTACAGTACTTAAGAAATTACACATGGAACAAAAACTATTAATTTTGCTGAAGAAAAAGTATTTTTGTTCATCATACTGCAAATATGTTTAGCCCAACATTTCCTTACTCCATGAGAATATTATTACTAAAATATTACCAAGAATAAAAAAAAAATTATACAGCCAAAAAATTCTGTTATCCAACTTCCAACCATTATATCCTTGTTAATTTTAAACGAGTTAACCACAAATAGAGCATAACCAGCTGTTTGCGCTTCTCGGATTGTTCTTCCACTGATATTTAAATCTCTCAAACTTGTTGACCAATTATATACAGTACATGTATTCATCATTGTTATTGGATTCTGTCCAAGAATATGTAAATCTAATCACGTTAGTTAACAAGACTGATAATGCATGGCACGTGTGCTAGCAAATAACCCAAAGATGAAGCCTCTAGTCCTTAATATTGTATGGTGAACTGAGAACACACTCAAGTGCTGTAAAAACCTAAAACTGCCAAAAGAGATGTGAACAAAGAATAGCATGCTAATTTGCTTATTCTAAATGAGAGAAGAGAACAAGTGTTTTGACGAGTACTAAAACTGCCATGGAATCTTTGTTTTGAAGGTTCTAATTTCTTTTCTTCTTTCAACACACCGACAGTATCCCAACGAGGCAGGGTGGCCCAAAAGAAAAAATGAAAGTTTCTCCTTTTACATTTAGTAATATATACAGAAGAAGATATTACTAGCCCCTTGCTCCCGGCATTTTAGTCGCCTCTTACAACACGCATGGCTTACGGAGAAAGAATTCTGTTCCACTTCCCCATGGAGGTAAGAGGAAATAAACAAGAACCAGAAAGAAAATAGAAGAAAACCCAGAGGGGTGTGTGTATATATGCTTGTACATGTATGTGAAGTGTGACCTAAGTGTAAGCAGAAGTAGCAAGATGTACCTGAAATCTTGTACGTGTATGAGACAGAATAAAAAGACACCAGCAATCCTACCATCGTGTAAAACAATTACAGGCTTCCATTTTACACTCATTTGGCAGGACGGTAGTACCTCCCTGGGCGGTTGCTGTCTACCAACCTACTACCTAGAAAGGTTCTAATTATCCACTTATAATCCTTGTCAACATTTGCTTTGTTATGCTATTTAAATACTAAGACTCCTAAATCTTTTAATTCTTGTATACTGTAGTATATAAATAAGCTTTCCATGCATCTGACTGACTTTCAATTATATCTAACGTGTGATGAAAATGGTTTTGAAAACCGGCAAGTTGAAGAATGAGCCACTGACTGGCAAAATGTTTCCTCAATAAAGATTCCCAAATGTTGCACATATATCTGATATACTCCAGGGAGTTGGATATCAGAGCCTTTATTCTATGAACCATGTGATGGATTTTTTTTTTAAACAAACTGGCTGTATCCCACAGGGCAGGATGACCTACAAAGAAAAACACAAACTTTCCTTTTTAAATTTTGTAATATATACAGGGAAGGGGTTACTAGCCTCTTGCTCTAAGGGATGGAATTGTGATTAGCTAAATGAAAGATGAGACTTGAATATGGACTTAAAATAGAGTATATGGCATCTCAAGTTTCCCCGTTTTCTGAAATGTATTCTTGACATACCTCATTCCTTAAAATACTAATAATTATGAAAATACGTATAAACAAGTAAAAATTAAAAATACCTCACACAAAACATCAGGATAGGGTAGGTTGTCCAAGATTTTATGGCTAAAAGAATGACAGCAATGAGAACTTGCATCTTTCTTGCATCATACGAGAGCAGTACATCTCCCTTAACCAGAGATCCAAATGTTAAGTAACCATAGTTGGCCGAAACTGTGTACACGAGAAAACACACCACAATGGCAGCAACACATGCCTGTGAAAACTCAATAGAATTAGCAATTCAGATATTTATCAGCATAAAATACAGGCATCACTCCAATATAAAGCTGACTTTAAACCCAATGTATCTGTTATTTGTACTTTATTCTCTACTTATAGTACAGCATTATTATAATGATATTCATAAGAAGTGATAACTTGTAAGTGTCATACAGTATCTGGGAAACAGGAAGCAATCTAGGTTTGATTCAAGGAAGGGAAGTGTAGTTCCAATTTCTTGAACCTAGAGCCCTTCACCAGCATGAAGGATTCTAAGTTTATAAAGTTACACAAGAGACTAAAATGGCACAATACCTTGACTAGAACAATACACAAATACTTGCACACAGGAGAATGAAACTTATGATGTTTCAGTCTGACTTGGGCTATAAGTTTCATTCTCCTATGTGCATGTATTTGTGTAAATTTGCACATTCACCTACACAAAATTGAGGAGAGGCAAAAATTACAATTCATACATTAATACTCCCCCCTCACTAATTACTAGATTAACAGAAATAAAAACTTGAGCAGTTAGCCGAGATTTATAACACAGGTACTCCTCACTTAATGACCAAGTTCTGTTCCTCGGTAGGTTGTTAAATGAGGAGCCACCCCTTACTGATATTTCAAACTTACTGTACTGGTAGTAGGTTTGTGTCAACTATCTTTAGATATTGTTTTAATGTTGCCTCTGCACCATTTATGACATTTTTAGTATATTAAAAATAGAACTAGGCATTAAAAAATAAAAAAGTAAAATGCTGGTAGCAAGTAGAGCTGGTAGTAAGTCCGAGTGGTCATTAAACAGGTAGGTTGTTAAGCAAGTAGTACCTGTATTACAATGCATCTATTGCATGCTGGCCTCCATCATTGTAAGGAACTCTTTTATAGAAAAATTTAAGATTATACCATAGACGGAACAATTCAGAAATAACCTGCACTTAGGAGAGGAAATTTCCTCTCCTCAATTAGGGTTATTTGTGAACTTTTCCAGAAAGCATTGTAAACTTCAATTTTCCAGGATACAGTGACAATAAAACCATTAAATACCAATATTAAGAACAGCTCGAGCAATACACAGTGAACAAACCTTTATAAATGATGACGAAGCATTGTGTTCCTTCAGGCAAGAGTAAATTGGGATGCTGCTTACATGGCACTGGTACCCGAAACATATTGTTGGCACTACATCAAATATCTGGCAAGAAAAAATGAATGAATAAATGTATATACATACATATATATATATATATGCAAAACAACCACTCTGAAAGAATAGAGAAATTCCAAGCGCTTTCGTGACTACTCACATTATCAAGGAACTATGAAAGTAAAGCATCCAAGGAAGCTATATAAGGGGTCTGGTCGGCACCTCACTATCAGATCCCACAACGGTTTAAACACGTGACGCGCGGCGAGCCAACTTGGAAAGGTCCTTGGCACAACTCACCCCACAAACTATTCTACCCAAGAAATAAGAAATTTTAAAGATTATTTGTCTAGTGTATTATTAAATTCTTCCCAAATTCTATTAATTATAAATGGATCTAATTTATATAAACCAAAGGAAATATTCATATTATTGTCAAAACTGCTTTTTATGAAACAAGATTCAATTATATTCCTGTCGACCATGGACTTGCTTGATACTACTTTCTCAACTTTTTGAAAATCAATTGGATGGTTAAAATCTCTTACATGAATAAATAGAGCATTGGAATCTTGTCCAGTTCTAATGCTATATTTATGTTGTTTTAATCTTAGTTCGAGATTTTTACCAGTTTGACCGTAATAAACTTTATCGCAAATTTTACAAGGAATCTTATAGACACATCCATCAGCATTTTGGGGGGAATTCTTTATCAAAAGTTTTTTTACTGTATCGAGATTTTTGAATACAACTTTAATATTAAAAGTCTTAAGAAGAGAAGGCATATCAACCAAGTTTTCATGGTAAGGGAGAACCAACATATTTTTATTTGAATAAGGCTGGTTGTCCCTTTTTGGAATGTAAAAAGTATTTCTGGCAACTTTAAAAGATTTATCAATTACATTTCTTGGGTATTTTAAATCATTACCTATTTCATAAATTTTGGATATTTCTTCATCTATGAACTCAGGACTACAAATTCGTAAAGCTCTCAGAAACATTGATGAGAAAACAGACAGTTTGACTCTATCTTGATGCGAGGAATAATAGTGGACATAGGAACAGTTATTAGTAGGTTTTCTGTAAATTTTAAATTTGAATTCATTATTACCCTTAATAATTAAAACATCTAGAAAAGGCAATGAGTTATTTTCTTCAAACTCAACAGTAAAGTTTATTGAATGGGCTAAGCTATTTAATTTTCCAAGGAAATGGTGTATATCTACATTTTTGGGCATAAGACACAAAATATCATCAACATATCTGAACCATTTAGCTCTATTAGGGAGGATTGTGTTAAGTAACCTTGTTTCAAAAAATTCCATGTATAGGTTACTAAGAACAGGTGAAAGAGGATTTCCCATTGCCATACCAAACTTCTGAGTGTAAAATTTATCATTAAATACAAATTTTGCATCAACAATGCAAAGTTTAATAAGTTTAATGATAGTAGGAACTGGCAATGGTAAATCATAGTTAACGAGTTCTTCAGATAAGAAACTTAATAAATCATCAACAGGAACTTTCGTAAACAAGGAAGTAACATCAAAACTAACCATGTTAAAATCATTTAGGTCAGTCAAGGAGCTTAATTTATCAACCAAGTCTATGTTGTTTTTAACATTAAAGTTAGAAATTTTGCCAACAATAGGGCTCAAAATATCAACAAGAGCTAAATGGTTCAGATATGTTGATGATATTTTGTGTCTTATGCCCAAAAATGTAGATATACACCATTTCCTTGGAAAATTAAATAGCTTAGCCCATTCAATAAACTTTACTGTTGAGTTTGAAGAAAATAACTCATTGCCTTTTCTAGATGTTTTAATTATTAAGGGTAATAATGAATTCAAATTTAAAATTTACAGAAAACCTACTAATAACTGTTCCTATGTCCACTATTATTCCTCGCATCAAGATAGAGTCAAACTGTCTGTTTTCTCATCAATGTTTCTGAGAGCTTTACGAATTTGTAGTCCTGAGTTCATAGATGAGGAAATATCCAAAATTTATGAAATAGGTAATGATTTAAAATACCCAAGAAATGTAATTGATAAATCTTTTAAAGTTGCCAGAAATACTTTTTACATTCCAAAAAGGGACAACCAGCCTTATTCAAATAAAAATATGTTGGTTCTTCCTTACCATGAAAACTTGGTTGATATGCCTTCTCTTCTTAAGACTTTTAATATTAAAGTTGTATTCAAAAATCTCGATACAGTAAAAAAACTTTTGATAAAGAATTCCCCCCAAAATGCTGATGGATGTGTCTATAAGATTCCTTGTAAAATTTGCGATAAAGTTTATTACGGTCAAACTGGTAAAAATCTCGAACTAAGATTAAAACAACATAAATATAGCATTAGAACTGGACAAGATTCCAATGCTCTATTTATTCATGTAAGAGATTTTAACCATCCAATTGATTTTCAAAAAGTTGAGAAAGTAGTATCAAGCAAGTCCATGGTCGACAGGAATATAATTGAATCTTGTTTCATAAAAAGCAGTTTTGACAATAATATGAATATTTCCTTTGGTTTATATAAATTAGATCCATTTATAATTAATAGAATTTGGGAAGAATTTAATAATACACTAGACAAATAATCTTTAAAATTTCTTACTTCTTGGGTAGAATAGTTTGTGGGGTGAGTTGTGCCAAGGACCTTTCCAAGTTGGCTCGCCGCGCGTCACGTGTTTAAACCGTTGTGGGATCTGATAGTGAGGTGCCGACCAGACCCCTTATATAGCTTCCTTGGATGCTTTACTTTCATAGTTCCTTGATAATGTGAGTAGTCACGAAAGCGCTTGGAATTTCTCTATTCTTTCAGAGTGGTTGTTTTGCATATTCTGAAATCACCTGTTAACTGTGATCTTATTGCATATATATATATATATATTATATATATATATATATATATATATATATATATATATATATATATATATATATATATATATATATATTTATTTTTCCAACAAACTGGCCATGTACCTCAGTGGGTGACAAGATGGTTTTGAAGAAAAAAATTATCCTAATGGCAAAACAATTAATACATATCACATCACTTCTTGAGACATTGTGGTAATTAAAGTGAACACCAAGATGGGTAAACAGACAAGCATTAACCCTTTCAGGGTCGAGAAGCCCTCTCCTAAACTCGTTCTCAGGTTCGAAAATTTTTCTTATGAAATCATAGAGAATCTTTTCCCGATCATAATGATACCAAAAGTATGAAATTTGATGGAAAACTTATGGAATTACGCTCTTGCGAAGTTAGCGGTCTCGACGATGTTTACGTATCGGCGATTTCGCCCACTTTGAGCCCTATTTTCGGCCAATTCCTGTGTACTAGTCGACAAAAATCATATTTATTTCGCTAGAACTCCATTTTTTCTATCGGATGAGTACAAGAAATCACCCATTTACCAATTTCAACTATCCAATAAAGTGGTTAGAAATTGGTAATTTTGCCAATTTCACACAAATTTCAGAAGATGCCGATTTCCAAATAGGGTCCAGAATAAACAAGAGACATTCCTGGCACTAAAATAACAAGTTCTCTGTCCGTCAGTCACGTCCCCAGGCCCCTCTTACATTTCTTTTGCTTTCCACTTTGAATTTTTATTCTCACAAAAAATAAAAGATTTTCTGTTATGCAGACTACTGCATTAGTATAGAAATGGTATAAATAATATCAGCGCACTTGTGAAAGAATATCAGACTCACCAGTTGACGTGTATTGGAAGCTTGGCATGATTTGTTTACTTTTGAACTTTGGTAAAAATCGAACATTTCTGCTACTTTGAGCTCAATTTCAAGGTACTTTTCATTGTGAAACCAATCAAAATCATCTCAATTTCTGTAATATGTCTTCCATTCTATAAAATGAGACCAGGAAAACTAGAATACAACCATAAATACCATATGAAAATACAGTGCAAAGTCGCTGTTTTAATCCAAAAACACAAAGTTTGTTTTTCTCATTATGCACCGTGTGCTGCAGGATTCTTTTAATACTGCGTACACTGACCACAGACCCATTCTTTCATATGTAGGCCTATCAGCTTTCTCTCGCTAGATCTGAAGGCTCTAGAATTTAGGCATTCTAGTACGTCAATAACCCTGGTGCGTAAGCCGTACTAGTACGTCAGAAACCCTGAAAGGGCAAAAAAAGAAAAAAAAAAACCAGAATAATGGGAAAACAAAATGGAATTCATTATGCATATGAGATTGTTCATTTTTTTCTTCTCAATAACATGCCAGCAGTATTAAAAGATATTAACATCTAGCATCTTACCATTATTTTTAAGAATCTGTAGCATAAGAAAACATTTGTTATAATAAAAAAATTAATAATAATATTAATGGTGCACTTATGTGAGCATGTTAGATAGGAGTGAAGACACATGGTTTTTCATGACTATGCATTGTTGGAGTGTCAGCAAGGTAACATTTATGAAGGGATTCATCTAATTTAATCTAAAATGGTTATCCAGTAGAGTCCTGGAGGTAAGAAGTACAGTGTTTGCACTCTGAAGGAGGGGTGGGGATGCTGCAGTTCAGAGGGCTATATAAACTGAATGAATGATGGTGAACGAGTTTTCCATACTTTTTGAGTCACTACTTCAGTAGACAACTAGTGTTAAAAAAAAAAAAAAAGCATTTAAAGAAAATAAATTAATTGTGGTACTGTCTGAAAATCCCATAGCAAACAGAATTTGGGGAAGAACTTCAGTTAATACATAAATGCAGTAATGAGAGCCTTTCACATTACTAGCAAATTTTAGCAGCTTTCCAAATGCCCTAATAAACTGAGCACTCAAATATCAAACTTTCACAGCCACAAAGTCGTAGTTAAAACGTGTGAAAGATTACCAACCTCTGTTCTATTGTATTGTACTCTAATGTCATATTGTACACATTATAATACTTTAACTGTGAAGTTTGCACACTTCTGGCAAGACAGCTACTACATGAATGATGGTGAATGTGTTTACCTTTTTTGGGTCACTTGTAGAAAAGATTCTTTAAGAACCAGAAGCAGGGAGAACAAGAGGCAATATTTTAAACAAAATAACACAAAATACTTTATATAATTTTAGTGACTGATGGCTGGAATGGGGTCCAAAAAGAGTTATTATTGTAAGTTAAACAAAATGTACAGTACTGTATATTGTTGCTAACATATTGGCCATTTCCCACTGATGTAGTAATCAAAAGAAAGAAAACACATTCGCCATATCTTATTTCCTAGCTATCTCTCCAAGGGTGCATGGACATTAACTCAAATGAGCCACCAAACAGCAGCATCCCACCAATCCTTCACAGTGCAGATGCTGTACTTACCACCAGAACTGGAGGTTGATGAACAGATTTTTAAAAAAAAAAATGCAAAACATTACTCACTACAATCTAAATACTCTTACGCATACCTGCTGGACGTTCAAGCCCTCCCCCCCCCTCTATTTTTTTTTTTTCACTCTTCTCTCAACCTTTCCTTCCATCCACCTCAGGTTTATGCACATTCTTGGTTAGTCTATTTTGCTCCATTCTTTCAAAATAACCAAACCATATCAACAACCCATCTTCTGCTCCCTGAAAAAAATGTATGATGAATCAGCTGATTAAAAAAAATATAAAAAAGATGATATAAGCATACCTGTGTCCAATGAACGTCAAAGAATATGACCGGCCCTTTGTTGTAGCTGCCAGTATAAAATTCACCAACTATGACTGCCACCAGATACAAGATGGACAAAACACCAACATAGCTGAAAGAAAATATATTTAAACTTAGGTAGTACTACCAATCCCAACCAGACATATGCCTCAATAAGACAAGGAAAAATATTTTACCTCATGAATCTAAGACCATCAATCCTCTTGAAACAGCAAGGAAAGATCAGTAGCAAGGATGATACTGTCATTGTAAACTTTCTGTTGAAATACCACGTATGACAGAAACCTTTTCCCACAAATGATGCAAACACTGAAATTAATGAGAAAATGTGTAATTAAATATTTCAATAGTAAACCCTCAATATAATAGATTTCACAAATATGACACAAAGTCCACTGGTTATGGTATTATCCATTACAGTATACAGTAGTTACAATCGCAGCAAAATAAGCACGTCTCTATTCACCACAATCGCCATCATCGACCATCTGCTCCCCCTATTATTCAGCAGCACTGAGCATTTACTGTATAACTATTGTCCATATTTAAATGTGGCATGCTACAGTAATTCCTTATATAAGCTCTTGCCAATTAATAGCACATGTAGTCTTTGGCAGTGCAGACAGACAATAATATAACCAAGGATCAGAGAATTTAACATGCAGTGCTTCAACTCTTTTTCAAAGTTTAAAGAATTGGCAATAAATATTTTTTAATACAGTCTCTCCTCACTTAACAACGTACTTGTTTACCGATGACCTGGACTTACAACTGGCTCTCTGACCAGTATGCATACCTAAATACTGTAATGTATATTAGAGTTGATTTCCTTAAATCTGTTTATTACAACATACAGTACACTGCTGTATAAACATTTAAAAATATACCAGAAATGTTATAAATGGTGCAAACCCACTACCATTATAGTATGCTCCTAACTTAGCGATGAATTTGTTTACCGACGTGGCCTTAGGAACGGAACTCTGTCGTTAAGTGAGGAGAGGCTGTACAAGTGAACATTTGTTAGGACAGTTTTTCTTCAAATTTAAATTACATACTTTGGAGTTCACTAGTAAAAATAATCCACACCATGTTCCCAGCTTTACCATTAGCAATGGGGAAAATAATGCATTGTAGTGCTAGAGGCAACTGAAATTATAATTATAATCATGAGGGTGTGCTAAACCAGTAGGATTATATAGTGCATTGGGGGAGGGGGAGATGGAAGGTATTCAGACTGAATTCTGGGAACTGCAGCACAGATCCAATTCCCTAGATCAAGAGCCCCTCACCAGCTTCAAGGAACCTCCCTTGAGGGGAGGCAATTGAAAGAACCTTTTGTCGACTGATACAGGATACAAAGCATACTGCCAATGGAAGTGAAGAAAATACACAGGTACAGAGAGCATTTATCTTGACAATGTTGACTTGATCAAACTCTACATGGAGTGAAAGGCTGATAGAAACTTGTTCTGTATTTTTTTTTTTTTTTCAGTTTAATGGATACTGCCTTCACTTCAAAGATATTTTTAATTTAATCCCACTAAAAATAAGTTAATGTCCCTTACAGCAGGGTCCCCAACCTGCAGCTCGTGAGCCACATGTGGCCCTTCTAATGGATGCAGCCATCACATGAAATTATGAATTCACTTTTATGGAGATTCCACACTGCACAGTATCAACAAAAACATGCGACCCTCATCACACATTTGACCATCAAACGTGGCAGACTTGTGTAGGAAGGTTGAGGATCACTGCCTTGCAGCATTCCATCCATTGCTATTTCCTTAGATGAGACAAAAGACAATGCTGCCTCTTTCTCATTACCACCAATAACCAATACTCCCTATTTCTCTCCCATTCTCACCCTCCCTGTCTCTTCCTCTTTTTCTGCAGTGGTATTTAGACTTAATATCAAAATCATAATCTCCATGGGGAAATGGAACAGAATTCTTCCTCCGTAAGCCATGCGTGTCGTAAGAGGCGACTAAAATGCCGGGAGCAAGGGGCTAGTAACCCCTTCTCCTGTACAGTGGACCCCCGGTTAACGATATTTTTTCACTCCAGAAGTATGTTCAGGTGCCAGTACTGACCGAATTTGTTCCCATAAGAAATATTGTGAAGTAGATTAGTCCATTTCAGACCCCCAAACATACACGTACAAACGCACTTACATAAATACACTTACATAATTGGTCGCATTCGGAGGTAATCGTTATGCGGGGGTCCACTGTATATATTACTAAATTTAAAAGGCAAAACTTTTGTTTTTCCTTTTGGGCTACCCCACCTCAGTGGGATATGGCTGGTACGTTGAAAGAAAGAAAGATCAAAATCATAATAATGCAGTATGAAAATCATAACACCCACATCATGCGAGGTTATACCATTAAACCAACTATTACTGGTATTTCTAATTTATGTACAATATAGTACTTCACTAGTTTTTTTTTCAGTTTTTTTTTATTAGCGCACTGGCTGATTCCCACCAAGGCAGGGTGGCCCGAAAAAGAAAAACTTTCACCATCATTCACTCCATCACTGTCTTGCCAGAAGGGTGCTTTACACTACAGTTTTTAAACTGCAACATTAACACCCCTCCTTCAGAGTGCAGGCACTGTACTTCCCATCTCTAGGACTCAAGTCCGGCCTGCCGGTTTCCCTGAATCCCTTCATAAATGTTACTTTGCTCACACTCCAACAGCACGTCAAGTATTAAAAACCATTTGTGTCCATTCACTCCTATCAAACACGCTCACACATGCCCACTGGAAGTCCAAGCCCCTCGCACACTAAACCTCCTTTACCCCCTCCCTCCAAGTTTTCCTAGGCCGACCCCTACCCCGCCTTCCTTCCATTACAGACTGATACACTCTTGAAGTCATTCCGTTTTGCTCCATTCTCTCTACATGTCCGAACCACCTCAACAACCCTTCCTCAGCCCTGTGGACAACAGTTTTGGCAATCCTGCACCTCCTCCTAACTTCCAAACTACAAATTCTCTGCATTATATTCATGCCACACATTGCCCTCAGACATGATATCTCCACTGCCTCCAGCCTTCTCCTCGCTGCAACATTCATCACCCACGCTTCACAACCATATAAGAGCGTTGGTAAAACTATACTCTCATACATTCCCCTCTTTGCCTCCAAGGACAAAGTTCTTTGTCTCCACAGACTCCTAAGTGCACCACTCACCCTTTCCCCCTCATCAATTCTATGATTCACCTCATCTTTCATAGACCCATCCGCTGACACGTCCACTCCCAAATATCTGAATACATTCACCTCCTCCATACTCTCTCCCTCCAATCTGATATCCAATCTTTCATCACCTAATCTTTTGTTATCCTCATAACCTTACTCTTTCCTGTATTCACTTTTAATTTTCTTCTTTTACATACCCTACCAAATTCATCCACAGACCTCTGCAACTTCTCTTCAGAATCTCCCAAGAGCAGTGTCATCAGCAAAGAGCAACTGTGACAACTCCCACTTTATGTGTGATTCTTTATCTTTCAACTCCACGCCTCTTGCCAAGACCCTCGCATTTACTTCTCTTACAACCCCATCTATAAATATATTAAACAACCATGATGACATCACACATCCTTGTCTAAGCCTACTTTTACTGGGAAATAATCTCCCTCTTTCCTACATACTCTAACTTGAGCCTCACTATCCTCGTAAAAACTCTTCACTGCTTTCAGTAACCTACCTCCTTACCATACACCTGCAACATCTGCCACATTGCCCCCCTATCCACCCTGTCATATGCCTTTTCCAAATCCATAAATGCCACAAAAACCTCTTTAGCCTTATCTAAATACTGTTCACTTATATGTTTCACTGTAAACACCTGGTCCACACACCCCCTACCTTTCCTAAAGCCTCCTTGTTCATCTGCTATCCTATTCTCCGTCTTACTCTTAATTATTTCAATAATAACTCTACCATACACTTTACCACTTCACTAATAGTATATAATTAAAGTTTTTACTATGCTTATTCCTATTATATATACAATAAATGCATTTGTAATACAGTACAGCAGTAAGATAATGCTTTGTTTAATTAGGCAATGCATGTAAAAAAGGGTTTCCAAGAACATATCACTAATTTTATGAAGGGAATGCATGAGAAAAATGTACTTTGATATATGATTTGCATAACAGATTTTGGATGAATGCTCCCGTGTTCGAGGATTCCCCTATAACATGCAGCATTCGGAGCCTTAAGTTTACCTTTCTCTCCAGTACTGTGAATGAGTTGCTTTGTACATAGTGAGAGCAAGGAGCTTATCCTTACTTGGGACCAGTGGTGGGCACAGTTCCGCTAACCGCTCATTAGCAGAACTAACTTTTTGCTTAGCGGGTTAGCATTTCCGCTAACTTTGGAAACAGATTAATTAGCTTCCGCTAAATAAAGTTCCGCTAACTGAGTCTGCTAAAAAAAAAAAAAATTCATACTTGTTGGTAGTCGGAAAACAGTGAGGAGAGCAGCAGCACCACTAATGAGGATGAAGAAAATGACTTCTTCAGCAGCATCTCTCAGTTCCAGGACAGAAGAAGCCACAGGTCACTGAAGTCGAAGGCACAGAGCATGGTGAAGACCCAGCTGGAGACCGGCTCGAAGGAGGTCACGAGTGAAGTCTCCTTCTTGAGTGAGCAGGTCTTGATCGATCTATTCATTAAGTACAACACTGCCATACCATCCAGTGCTGCAGTTGAGCACCTATTCTCTATAGGCAAAGATATCTTGAGGGCCAAGAGAGCCACCCTGTCAGATGGAAACTGAGAGGCTGATGCTCATGAAGGGCAACCAGCATCACATCAAAGCAATGGAGAAGGCCCAGCCAGAGTAGTAATTAGCCCAGCCATCATCTGATCTTGGCATGATACCCAAGCTATGCATTTTGTACAGTAAATAAAGTGTATGTTGGATTTAAACTGATGTTTGATTTCATTTGTTCATATAACTATTTGCGAGTACCTGTATGGCTGTATCGCTGGTGCAGTGGTAAGCTGGCCTCAAGGTTTCAACTTTAAGCATGATTTTCAACCACGTACTTGTTTGTAGTTTATTGGGTTCAAAATCTAAATTAAGTTAAATGCAAACATGAACAGATACAGAATAAAATTAACAAATACAATGAGTAACTGGAACTAAAGTAAACAGTCAAATAAACTAACTCAATCTGTTTGGGTGTTATGGGGCTTCAGTACAGCGACGAGTGTGTCCTTGTCGGTCGCTCGCATTTCATCACAAAATTAAACTTGCTATTTTCGCACTAGCGGCAATTGATCATCATATGACCTTGGCATTCTATATTTTATTAGGAAGCTCTCCAGTTCTGTTCTAAAAGTCTGGAAAGCAAAAGTAAAAGACCAAAAAATTAAACCGAATCTGAATTCATGTGAAAAAGTTAGCGGTTAGAGTTTAGAGTTACCTTCCTCTAATTTTTTTGGTCATTTAGCAGTTTAGCTTAGCTAATTTATTAGTTAGCGGATTGGCGGTTAGCGTAGCTAACTTTTCGGTTAGCTGTGCCCACCACTGCTTGGGACCAGATCTTAAAATAAGTAACAAGAGCTTTAGACAATGGCCTAACTTCATGCAGTTTAAAGTGGTTTACAAAACAAACAAGACTGCTGGGTGTGCAGAAACAGAAGCTATGTACGTGTTATTCAGGACTCCCATTGAACACAACTTAATCCTCATGTGCACTACAGAAACTTAACCTTTACATTTAATTTACACTTTCAAGGCATTTTTTGGGGGGAAATGTCTGTAGTAAAAATTTTTAAAGCTCGTAGTCATTTAAGAAACAGAAAAAAAAAACTTATGGAGAAAGCTCAAACATATTCAGAAAACCCACATTTTCAACATAGCAAAGAAAAAATGTGACTACTTTGATTAATTAAAAATAGCACACTAGAGTTTGACACTGTAGTAAGCATGTGATATGCAAACAAAATGTATTTAAAATTTGTTGGATAATCAGTACGTTAAGATACCCAAGAGTTGCCCATGTGTCTAATTTATCAACGTTAAGGAGTCATTGAAATAATAAAATTATAAAACACAACATAAAAAGCAATACAAAAACATCCAAACCTCTGTCAAATTGGTCGCCAATTATAATTATGAAGGTGATACATGTAATGAAGCAGTAGACTGATATGCATAGAGAAGCCACCACGTTCCATCCAGGATTACACATGTGCAGGACCAACTGAAGATTTACATAATATAGGTTACCAAACTTTTCTCTTTCTCACTCTAATGTACTACAAACTTGATCACATCTTTTACAGCATTTTATATTGTAATCTATTTCTAGTTAAATGTTTGATTAAATTTCTAAGAGGATCTATACAGTGTCTATGTGAAGATAGATAATATATAACTGATGGAATGACTGAAAGAGACTTATGATGCAGAGCATAAGTCCCAATTAGTTTTGCTCTGCATCTATTTCATCCATAGTGTAAGTCTTTTGAATGTCATTACGATAGAGATAAATGGTATAAAATACCGATATGATGGAAAAATGGACAAATGCTATATCAAGCGGGAATTATCAAGTCCACTGTGTAGGCAAAACATAGTCAATAAAGGATCACAATATACTGTATTTGTGTCTATTTCTCCATGAATGACTAGGCCAGAAGAAAGAAAGCACTAATATATTATGCTTTTATATACAGTACTGTAATTTAAATTGCTACTAGAAATATGGTAAAAAAAAAAAAAAAGTACATGTAACTGAATGAAGTAGTGAGCATGTCTATCCAACTTACTAAAAATGAACATATGCTAGAAAACACTAGTTATATTTTAAGTTACCTTAGTTGCCCCTGTTATCTTTTACTTGTCATTCTATGATCAACTTATCTTTAATATTTCATCTACAGTACTTCAAAATGAATAAAATTCTTAAAGATTGTTACTGAAATTCTAACCAATATGCCTCCACTTCAAGCAGAAAAATAATAAAGGCATTTTAATGTAATTTTCATGTGGTGTACCAAAATGTGCAGGAACTGCAATATGCATCAGGTTTGAACATTACTGGAGACAATTTTTTAATATTCTAAGGAAAGAGCTTAAGTATTATGCCAATCACATCATACATATCTGTCAGTTCAATGTCCCAAGACTGGTTCTAAACTATCCAGTAATAAGATTGGTGGTGGGATTACTACAGAAGGTTACTCGAGAAAATCATACGAAATCTTTGTACAGAGAAAAATGCATTATGCATGGTGGCAAACATTTGTAATTACTGCACTGTGCTAGTAAGAAGGAGGAGATGGGGGTCAGGATAAAGAAAGGGAAAAAAGATGACTACATGAGTATCACATCACTTCTCAGTAAGGCAACATGTATGCTGCACAAACTTACTCTCTGCTGCAGAACAGGGCATGCGTTAATGCTGAAAAAATATATTTCCAAGAAATAATGCACTGCTTATTGTTACTAGAATGAAACTAAATGCTCAGCTATGGTATCACCAACCTCTTGATAAGTGCTACATCTGCGTTCATTTGCACACTTAACGAGGATGATGAGAGATCCAAGAGCAAAGGATGTGAAAATCTGAAAATATACAAAATGTTCTTTCATAATACAGTTCATTAAAACAATTATTCACTATGTTTTTACTAGTTTTGACTACTTGTAATATGTGGATTAATGAAGATTTATCTATGAATTTGAGGACCATCATATGCTCATATGTTAACAAGCAAGTTTTTTTTTTTTTTCCAACAAGTCGGCCGTCTCCCACCGAGGCAGGGTGACCCAAAAAAGAAAGAAAATCCCCAAAAAGAAAATGCTTTCATCATCATTCAACACTTTCACCACACTCACACATTATCACTGTTTTTGCAGAGGTGCTCAGAATACAACAGTTTAGAAGCATATACGTATAAAGATACACAACATATCCCTCCAAACTGCCAATATCCCAAACCCCTCCTTTAAAGTGCGGGCATTGTACTTCCCTTTTCCCGGGATTCAAGTCCGACTATATGAAAATAACCGGTTTCCCTGAATCCCTTCACTAAATATTACCCTGCTCACACTCCAACAGATCGTCAGGTCCCAAGTACCATTCGTCTCCATTCACTCCTAACTAACACGCTCACGCACGCTTGCTGGAAGTCCAAGCCCCTCACCCACAAAACCTCCTTTACCCCCTCTCTCCAACCCTTTCAAGGACGACCCCTACCTCGCCTTCCTTCCCCTATAGATTTATATGCTTTCCATGTCATTCTACTTTGATTCATTCTCTCTAAATGACCAAACCACCTCAACAACCCCTCGTCTGCCCTCTGACTAATACATTTATTAACTCCACACCTTTTCCTAATTTCCACACTCCGAATTTTCTGCATAATATTTACACCACACATTGCCTCCAACCGTCTCCTCGCTGCTGCATTTACCACCCAAGCTTCACACCCATATAAGAGTGTTGGTACTACTATACTTTCATACATTCCCTTCTTTGCCTCCATAGATAATGTTTTTTGACTCCACATATACCTCAATTATAGGTAGTAGGTTGGTAGACAGCAACCGCCCAGGGAGGTACTACCGTCCTGCCAAGTGAGTGTAAAACGAAAGCCTGTAATTGTTTTACATGATGGTAGGATTGCTGGTGTCCTTTTTTCTGTCTCATGAACATGCAAGATTTCAGGTACGTCTTGCTACTTCTACTTACACTTAGGTCACACTACACATACATGTACAAGCACATATATACACACCCCTCTGGGTTTTCTTCTATTTTCTTTCTAGTTCTTATTCTTGTTTATTTCCTCTTATCTCCATGGGGAAGTGGAACAGAATTCTTCCTCCGTAAGCCATGCGTGTTGTAAGAGGCGACTAAAATGCCGGGAGCAAGGGGCTAGTAACCTCTTCTCCTGTATATATTACTAAATGTAAAAGGAGAAACTTCCGTTTTTCCTTTTGGGCCACCCCGCCTCGGTGGGATACGGCCGGTGTGTTGAAAGAAAGAAAGATATACCTCAATGCACCACTCACCTTTTTTCCCTCATCAATTCTATGATTAACCTCATCCTTCATAAATCCATCCACCGACACGTCAACTCCCAAGTATCTGAAAACATTCACTTCTTCCATACTCCGCCTCCCCAATTTGATATCCAATTTTTCTTTATCTAAATCATTTGATACCCTCATCACCTTACTCTTTTCTATGTTCACTTTCAACTTTCTACCTTTACACACATTCTCAAACTCATCCACTAACCTTTGCAATTTTTCTTTAGAATCTCCCATAAGCACAGTATCATCAGCAAAAAGTAACTGTTAATTCCCATTTTGAATTTAATTCCCCATAATTTAATCCCACCCCTCTCCCGAACACCCTAGCATTTACTTCTTTTACAACCCCATCTATAAATATATTAAACAACATGGTGACATAACACATCCCTGTCTAAGACCTACTTTTACCGGGAAGTAGTCTCCCTCTCTTCTACACACCCTAACCTGAGCCTCACTATCCTCATAAAAACTCTTTACAGAATTTAGTAACTTACCACCTATAAAATATACTTGCAACATCTGCCACATTGCTCCTCTATCCACTCTATCATATGCCTTTTCTAAATCCATAAATGCAATAAAAACTTCCCTACCTTTATCTAAATACTGTTCACATATATGCTTCAATGTAAACACTTGATCTACACATCCCCTACCCACTCTGAATCCTCCTTGCTCATCCGCAATCCTACATTCTGTCTTACCTCTAATTCTTTCAATTATAACCCTACCGTACACTTTTCCTGGTATACTCAATAAAGTTATTCCTCTATAATTTTTACAATCTCTTTTGTCCCCTTTTCCTTTATATAAAGGGACTATACATGCTCTCCGCCAATCCCTAGGTACCTTCCCCTCTTTCATTCATTTATTAAACAAAAGTACCAACCACTCCAACACTATATCCCCCCCTGCTTTTAACATTTCTGTCATGATCCCATCAGTTCCAGCTGCTTTACCCCCTTTCATTCTACGTAATGCCTCGTGTACCTCCCCCACACTTACATTCTGCTCTTCTTCACTCCTAAAAGATGGTATACCTCCCTGACCATTTAAAAGTTCCTCAAAATATTCTCGCCATCTACCTAATACCTTACTCTCCCCATCTACTAACTCCCCTACTCTGTTCTTAACTGACAAATCCATACCTTCCCTAGGCTTTCTTAACTTGTTTAACTCACTCCAAAAATTTTTCTTTTCATTAAAATTTCTTGACAGTGCCTCTCCCACTCTATCATCTGCTCTCCTTTTGCACTCTCTCACCACTCTCTTCACCTTTCTTTTACTCTCCATATACTCTGCTCTTCTTATAACACTTCTGCTTTGTAAAAACCTCTCATAAGCTAACTTTTTCTCTTTTATCACACCCTTTACTTCATCATTCCACCAATCACTCGTCTTTCCTCCTGCCCCCACCCTCCTATAACCACAAACTTCTGCCCCACATTCTAATACTGCATTTTTAAAACTATTCCAACCCTCTTCAACCCTCCCCCCCTACTCATCTTTGCACTAACCCACCTTTCTGCCAATAGTCGCTTATATCTCACCCGAACTTCCTCCTCCCTTAGTTTATACACTTTCACCTCCCTCTTACTTGTTGTTGCCACCTTCCTCTTTTCCCATCTACCTCTTACTTTAACTGTAGCTACAACTAAATAATGATCCGATATATCAGTTGCCCCTCTATAAACATGTACATCCTGGAGCCTACCCATCAACCTTTTATCCACCAATACATAATCTAACAAACTACTTTCATTACGTGCTACATCATACCTTGTATATTTATTTATCCTCTTTTTCATAAAATATGTATTACTTATTACCAAATCTCTTTCTACACATAGCTCAATGAAAGGCTCCCCATTTACATTTACCCCTGGCACCCCAAATTTACCTACTACTCCCTCCATAACATTTTTACCCACTTTAGCACTGAAATCCCCAACCACTATTACTCTCACACTTGATTCAAAACTCCCCACTCATTCACTCAACATTTCCCAAAATCTCTCTCTCTCCTCTACACTTCTCTCTTCGCCAGGTGCATACACGCTTACTATAACCCACTTTTCACATCCAATCTTTATTTTACTTCACATAATCCTTGAATTAATACATTTATAATCCCTCTTTTCCTGCCATAACTTATCTTTCAACATTATTGCTACTCCTTCTTTAGCTCTAACTCTATTTGAAACCCCTGACCTAATCCCATTTATTTCTCTCCATTGAAACTCTTCCACCCCCTTCAGCTTTGTTTCACTTAAAGCCAGGACATCCAGCTTCTTCTCATTCATAACATCCACAATCATCTCTTTCTTATCATTTGCACAACATCCACGCACATTCAGACTTCCCACTTTGACAATTTTCAAGTACTTGGGATTATTTCCTATGTACAAATACTGTATTAATTCTGTACAAGTGTATGTCACATTCAAAATTAGGAATATACAGTGGTACCTTGACTTACGAGTACCCCAACTTACGAGTTTTCCGAGTTACAAGCCGTCACTCTTTTGATTTTTTGCTTTGAGTTGCGAGCCAAAATCTGAGTTATGAGCGAGCTTCAGATACGCCGCCACTAGTTGGCACAGCGAAAGCCACAATATCCACCCAGCATCCCGTGTCTCACTCATTCAGTGCACATGGTTACCTTGCCATGGAAGCATCTCTTGTGTTGTGCTTGCATTTTGTGCTTTTTGTGTAGTTATTTTTGCCACATTTCTTTTTTGTAACCATGGGTCCTAAGAAAGCAAGTGCAAAGGACAGTGCTGAGAAGAGGACGATGGTGTCCATTGAATTAAAGCATGAAATCAAAGAAAAACACGAGCGAGGTGTGTGTGTAGTAGACTTTATGAGGCAGTACAAGCATAGTACTTATACAATATGTACCATACTAAAGCAGCATAAGAGGGCGATAAATGCTATAACGCCAGCCAAGCAAGCAAGTTAAGCGATTGAGTTTATGATGAACGAAAGCGACCGAAGAAGCACAAAATAAAACTGACTCCTCCAACCTCTGCCTATCATCTCCTTCACCTCCACCAGCATCTATTAGCCCAAGTATTCTGATCTCCAAGGTAAATACACTTTATAAAACCAGTTTATTTCTTTACATTTTCTTTTATTATGTTTTTATACAATATTTCTTATAAATACATTTTTCTTATTTAAACACCTGTAAAAAAAAATGGGGTGGTTTTTTGGGAGGCTGGAATGGATTAATGGCATTTCAATTAATTTCAATGAGGAAAATTGATTTGATATATGAGCAAATCGTGTTACAAGCTCGGTCACGGAACGAATTAAACTCTTAAGTAAAGGCTATTAAGTGAGACCAGGGACATGGAGTGTGCTATTTGTATATAATTATTCAATGTTTAAATGAAACTTTAAAACAAATTATAGATTAGCTGCTACATTAGATGTGAATAAACAATTATTAAGAAAATACTTACAATATGAACAAGATTGCCAGAGACAATTCCACCTGATTCATGAAAGGCTTTGGGAAAGTTTAAAAGCCCTGCACCCAGGCCTGCATTGACTATCAGGAACACTGCCTTTTGCCATGAAATTCCTTAAAAAAAAAAACAAAAAAAAATTATGCATGGTTCACAAGTCAAAAGTTTCAGACATGAGGGGTGTTTTAAAATTACAGGTAGATTACTTATAAACAGGGACATTTTTAATGAATATGCTTAAAGGGAATAATAGATTCTACATAAAAGTACTCACAAACTAATGGAAGAAATGAAAAAAAATAATAAAATATTTTGTGTCCTAGAATTTCCTTTCAAAATTTTAATTACAGTATTTCATTTTAATGATTATCTTTTAGAGATTTAAAGCAGCAGAGCTTCAAGAATTTCTTGCCTCACTCCAGAGTTGAAATTATCTAGAGAATTATGCAGTGTCAGAAAAGAGTGCGAGCTTTGTGTAGATGTGCCAATTCATTAGTGCCCCAAAAAGAAGGTAGAAGACTATTGAAATCACTAACCCTGAAAGGTTAAAGTAAGATAACTCAATCATTGTGGATTATTTCCACTGAGGTTAATCCTTTTTGGGTTATCCTAAGTAATCTACACATATGCTGCTATGTATGACAATTTATTTAACTATTTGTATGCTTCTGTACCTGAAATGCTCTGCATATTAAGGGGCTTTCTGCATGAACACCTAAATGTCATTAACCTCTGTACAAACCTTATATCATGCTGAAATAAAGAATTTTTAATCTTTACTTACTTTCCCCAGTAAGAGACCCATAACAGTCGACTAATTCCCAGGTGTCAATTTATCGCAAGGTAACATGGCAGGTGTCTTAGGAGACCTGCCCATACAGTGGACCCCCGCATAGCGAACTTAATCCGTGCAAGAGGGCTGGTCGTTATGCGAAATGTTCGCTATGCGAATTAATTTTCCCCATAAAGAAATAATGGAAATAAAATTAATCCGTGCAAGACACCCAAAAGTATGAAAAAAAAATTTTTTTACCACAAAAAAATGTTAATTTTAGTACACACAAACTGAAAAAGGCATGCACAATTACATGACACTTACTTTTATTGAAGATCTGGTGATGATTGATGGGATGGGAGGAGGGGAGAGCATTATCTTCCTTACTGTTTAGAAGGGAATCCCCTTCCATTAGGACTTGAGGTAGCAAGTCCTTTTCTGGGGTTACCCCCTTCTTCTTTTAATGCCACTAGGACCAGCTTGAGAGTCATGGACCTCTGTCGCACAACAATCTGTCCTTTAGAGCTCTGTACTCCGTTCCTTAAAGACTTTCCAAAAAATGGGCCATAACATTGTCATTGAAATTTAGTACACCAGCACGGCTTGAACAGCTGTGTCAGGGTGATTTTCATCCATAAAGGTTTGCAGTTCAACCCACTGTGCACACTTTCCCTTAATTTTAAAAGTAGGCACAATGGATTCCACAATGGCATAGGCTTTCAGGGTTAGCCCCAAACCCTTCAAAATCTTTCTTAATTTCCATACTAATTCTCACCCTTTTTACCACAGGGGTTTGGGACTAGAAGCTTTCTTGGGGCCCATGGTCACTTAAATTTTTCCCGAAAACAGCACCGAAAACACTGTAATAAAACGAAATATTCCGAGTGTATGCTTGAATGTTACCCCGGAGGCTAGCTGGTAAACAATGGGACAGGCGGCACATGTGAGGCTGGCTGAGGGCCCACATTGGACGCGTCTCCGACGAAGTTCGCTGAGCGGGTTTTTGTCTACTATGCGGGGCAAAATTTCAGCGAACAAAGCGTTCGCCATGCGGATTGTTCGCTATGCAAGGCGTTCGCTATGCGGGGGTCCACTGTATATCCCACCTTGTCTAAGTAAGTATTTGGGCACAGGTACATGGAAGCCCAATTATCATACATGGTGTAAATTACCTAAGATGGCTCAAAAAAAAAAAATTCTATGCAAGGGTTGATTCTATATTCTCTAAGTAGTGAGACGAGTGTGTTCACTGCTGAGCTATGATAAATAGGGAATTAAAAATAAAAAGAATAGTAATAATATAAATCTGTTTTACTAAGAAAAGCCAATATTGAATATTTGAGAAGAATATGGAGAAGCGTTTTCAATTACTCATGAAAAACACCTGTTGGGGAAAACAAATCAATAAACCATTATAAATAAATTTTAATTAATTACCTTCCACCAGTTTAGATTTTGACAATTGTCTTAACATAGTAACATACGAGTAAATTATCAAAGATAACCCCCCCAAAAAAAGTAAAAAAAAATCTCCAGGACTAACAGTAAGCAAGCAATAATAAGTAAATTAGGAATTAATCAGATTTGACTTTAATAATATGAAATATTAAAAGATAAATATATATTCACAACAATAACCAAAAATCAACCCACCAACATCGTCTCCATAACTACTTGCAAGTTGACAGGAAGCAAAGATATCATCTTGATGCCCTGCAGTGGCTGCCACAGGCTCTGGCAAGAGTGCTACATCGTCGTCATCGTCGTCGTGGTGGAGGTGATGATGATGGTTGTGGTTTTGGTAGTCATCTTCATGGTCTTGGAGATGATGATGATGAGGTGTCACGAGACCAACCACGGGACTCCGAGAGTGACACCCAGAATTTATTCTTGATTTCGCCACTACCACAGCTGCTGCCACGCCTCTGTCCACCTCTTCCTCCACGTCTGCATTATATGACATAGTTAACAACAAAAAGCAGAGCTAAAACGAGATGAAAAGGTAAAAAAAAATGTATTAAAACTCCAGCCACTACTGTCTCCACCTCCCCGTTGTTGTTGTTGGGTAGAAGGACTGAGGGTCCTAGAGCCGTGTGAACTATACTTGTTAGGGTTTAAAGGTCCACTGACACTAACGCCGTATCGAGCCTTGTCTCTAATAATAATATCTTTATTTCTGTAATAAAGTTGGTAGAATTACCGACAATATGTAAAGTAAAAGGACACAAGTGCAACTAATGTGACATTTTATTGTGGCAACGTTTCGCTCTCCAGGAGCTTTATCAAGCTTGATAAAGCTCCTGGAGAGCGAAACGTTTTTGCCACAATAAAATGTCACATTTGTTGCACTTGTGTCCTTTTATCTTTATTTCGCACCCCTCAAGGGAGGTTCCTTTGATGCTGGTGAAGGGCTCTTGATCTAGGGAATTGGATCTGTGCTCCAGTTCCCCGAATTTGAGCCTGAATACCTTCCATCCCCACCCCATTTATGCTGTATAATCCTGTGGGTTTAGCGCTCCCCCCTGATTATAATTGTAATTTATTTCTACAAGTACATGTAAAGGTATACAGGCCTAAGAAAACATCAATGACACACTACTATATAAAAGCCGCTTGTTACGCTGAGCATTTCGGGAAATTAAGCCAGTTTTGTCCCAGGATGGGGACCCACACCAGTCTACTGAAGGGTGAACATGGACAGCAGGTGTTTGATGGAAACACGTTCTAATGTTTTGCAACTGTACCGGAGATTCCAACTCAGGACCTCATTGTGTGAGCTGAGTGCGCTAGCGATCCAGCTACAGGGACACCTACTTGCTTGCTAGGTGAATGGGATAACAGGTACAAGGAAACACGCCCAATGTTTCCACCCTTGCTGGGGATCGAACCACGGACACTCAACGTGTGAAGCAAGAGCATTGCCTACCAGGCCGGGCTCAAGTAGAGCGAGACCTCATGAGTCAACTTGTCATGGACACAGCCACAGGCGGCGAACCAGCAAGGATGGACCATGTGTTCACCCTAAGTGACCATGTACATGTATACCATGTACATGTACTTTTAGTAAATAAAGATATTATTATTATTAATGTGTAAGGCATTGAATTCGAGAGGCCCGTCAGTGTTAGCGACCTCGCAGTGTATACTTTCCTCATGCCTCACAGATAATGGTGAAAATACCTGCGTGGATTATTTCTGGGTGCGAGAGTTTAATGTAGGTGACGGAGGAATACCCCCACACCCTCGAAACACGTTTAAATGAGCACATTTATGCTAGGAAAGGTCACATTCTGAACACTGCCTGCATGTAACATTGGAACACCACTATCAACCTTATGAGATGGAAGGAAGTTAGGTATAATGTTTGTCAGGAAACAGAACAAGAGTTTCCTGACACAGGTCTTAGTCAAATGATAACCTACAGCTGGAGCTTTTGGTCATCTGACCAAGGACTTTCTCTGGCTTACCGGTCTAGCAATTTAAAAATCATGGCTATGATTATAACCATTTATTGGTCTGAATATGAGATGGAAGGACCAGTAACGGATTTCTTATAGGCAGACTAAGCGGCCTCTTAGAGCCCAGACTACTAAGGGACAATACACACACAACCCGCACATGCAGTGCTAGTCACGGCATTATGCCGCCCCCTCCCCCACCACGTATCAAAACAAACACATACCATGAAAGATAACAAAGTATATATCCGCACACTTACTGAGGTTTTAATACTTGGTGCTGCATCCTTTATGCTTAATCACGTCCCTCAGCCACGTAGGAAGACAAATTCTTGAGGGTTTGGGGAGGTATATTATGCCATGCCTCATGTAGAGCAGCCTCCAGCTGCGGGATGGAACTGATATCCTTGCCCAGTAAACTTCAGTTCACTATTGACCAGAGGTTCTCAATAGGGTTTAGGTCTCGTGAATTGCCTGGCCATTTATTAAAGAACCTCACTTCACAGTCCTTAAGCCACTGAACTACAGATTAGGCAGTATGACATGGTGCACCATCCTGCATAAAAAACGTAGCCCCACACTTGTCAAACGCCTCAGGTAAATTGTCACACAATAACTCCAGGTAATTATACTGGTTCATATACTGGTTTTTGGGAAGCACAATGAGTTCACCAACACTCTGAGTACCCAAGCACCCGCACACCATGAGCGAGTCTGGGTGTTTGGTGGTCCCATAAGTGTAGTGTGGGTTAGCGGGTCACTACTACTAGGTCGGTACACGTCCCGCACGGTAACAGGTGACGGTGAAGGTTGCTTTATCTCTGCAAAGTATTTCAGACCACTGTTGAGGATTCCAGTGAAGATATTTCTTTGCATAATGCAGCTTACGTTTCTTCTGTGGCTTGGAGAGGATCGGTTTCTTAATCTGGCAGTGACTACTGTAGCCCAGGTCTGACACGTCTGTTAGCAGCTCTTAGACACCTCTGAGAGAAGATTATTATTATTATAATAAAAAAGAAACGCTAAACCACAAGGGCTATACAGCGCTGCTCTGAGAGAAGATGTGGGTTTTTTTCTTTCTTTCAATTCTCTAGCAGTTATCTTAGGTGTACTCTGTTTCTTTAACACAGTTAAGGTACGAACAGATGTCTTTTTCGAGGGGCCAGGCCGAGGTTTGGCAGAGGGTAACTCAACACCACCACCAGCCTTGAAACACTGCACCCAGTTCCTCACTGAACGCTCACACACACCAACAATATTCACTATTTCTTTCATCTGGTGCCCAGCTTTGTGATACCCTACGATTTGAGCTATAGTTTCAGGTGTTAAAGACTTCCTTTTACCCATACTCAAACATGTATAGCCACAAAACCAAAGGGAACACCAGACAAAATTATTATTATAATCAAAAAGAAGCGCTAAGCCACAAGGGCTATGCAGCACACCAGACAAAAGATGGGGCGGATGAGGGACAAAAGTGCAACACTCCTCTCACCACGGAAGCTACGTGAGCACTGAGGAGTCACTGTGGAGTGTGGCGGCAGACCGCGATGTCATGCTAACGGTTGCTACCCGGCATAATGCACTGACAAAGAAAAGGCCCCCTGTATGGTAGGCCTTTGATTTTGCTTTTTTGGTTTGGGGCGCTCACTCGGCATAATGCCGTGACTAGCACTATAGGAAAATGAAACTTATGACATTTCGGTTCAATTTTGACCATTAACTAGTCACTAGTTAATGGTCCAAGTCTGACAGAAACGTCGTCATAAGTTTTAGTCTCCTATGTGCAAGTTATTTGTGTATTGTTCCAGCAATGGTATTGTGCCTTTTTAGTCTCTGTTAACCCCTCAAGGAAGGTTCCTTGATGTTGGTGAGGGGCTCTTGATCTAGAGAATTGGATCTGTGCTCCAGTTCCCTGAATTAAACCTAAGTACCTTCCCCATTCCCCCCCCCCCCACAGGCGCTGCAAAATCTTACAGGTTTATCGCTTCCCCTTGATTAGAATAATAATATTCTCTGCTTAAGGGCTCCCAAATCGTTAACTATGTTTCACCACTTCCTGACTGAGTTGCACTATATGTGGCGCTTGTTATTTATACCACAAATATTTATTTGTATATTATATAAACTATTTCAGTTCCGAAATCAAAATAATTTTATTCAAGTTTTTATTTGCATGAATATTTATTTTTGAAAAGTCTGTTTGCACAGTGGCCCAGCGGTGGTCATATAACCACTCGTGCATATGGCTCCGATGTTGAAATACAATTTTCTCTAGTGCAATAGCTGACAGCAGCAAGGTACCCATAAAGGAACTCCCTAAAAGTCTGTCTGTTTAGGATCCTCGAGCTTCTCAGTCTGCAACTGGGAATAATAATTTCTACAAGTACATGTACAAGGTATACAGACTATAGCTGACATCAAGGACATACCACTATATAAAAAGCCGTTTGTTATGCAGAACATTTCGGGCAAATTAGGTTAGTATTGTCCCAGGATGCGACCCACACCAGTCAACTAACACCCAGGTACCCATTTTACTGATGGGTGAACATAGACAACCGGTGTAAGGAAACACGCCCAATATTTCAACCTCTGTTGGGAATCTAACCACGAATTCTCAGCGTGTGAAGCGAGAGCTTAGTATACCAGGCCACGGGATACCTATCTGGTTCTTCCAGAACCCGACACATGGAGACGCAAGTGCTTGGAGTCAGCCCTTATGTCAGGGTCCATCACTATCACATAGATAAAGGCAGCTTTATCTCACAGACTCTTGCACGAACAGTATTTAAAAAGATATGACACCATCACACAAAACGTTGTTGCTCTCAACATCAACATGTGTTCATAGATCGTAAGTGCCAATGATCTGTTTCATACTTTTTTGTACCCTCACAGGGTTTAATATATATTCCTGTGTTAGTGATAAATTCGTCCTTATGTTCCTGCAGAAAGTTATTCATCGATGTCGAGGAGCTAGTGGTTATTTTAATAAGTAAATCTGAGTTGGCAGGATACCTCTTGCTGACTGTCAGCTCGATGCCCCCGGCAGGTCCCTTTACAACCGATGTTAGTCTGGTTCAGGATGCATGTTGCACGTTTCCTGTAGTGTATCGCATACCAAGTGCAAGAGGAAGTCTAGTAAGCTTCAAGTCACCTACCTGTTGTCACTATGTATTATATCCTCTTTAAATGTCTGTATTAGGACTAAGGAAGCCACTCGTAGTAAAGCTGTTTTCTCTAACATCCTGAATTATACACAGACGGCATTATCTACGTCTCGTTGATATTACCATATCTATAATAACCAGACACTCAAATTATCACGCGGAAATTAAACGCCAGAAGAGAAAATATATTACAAGTATTTCCTTCTGGGGACATCTAATAATAACAACTGCAGGAAATAATTTATTGACAGGCTTCAATATAAAGATTATTTTGATAATGCTATATATGAATTTTGTATTTTCACATCAGTGACCTATTTACCAGTCTCAGGATTTGTTCGTCGAATTTCGTTAATCTATTCATATTTATACTGTTATTAGCCAGAGTTTGTTATTGTATAAGTGGGAGGTCAGGATACGCTCACTATCAACCCCGCTATTCACAC